GGGGGGGTGTAAGAACAGTGATAAACTCAAGGACTTGGACATTGTCGCGTGCGACATTGATGGGTGAGCTGGTGGCGGAAATGAGTAGAGCAAAGATGGAAAGTGACGTAGTAAAAACTGGTCGTTGCTATGACAACAAAGAAGCCTCTAGAACTTGCTCCAGGTGACTGCGTATTCCAACTTCGCATTAGACGACAGACTTCCGCGCAGGGTGTAGACCGAGCGGTCTGATTGAATGCAGGTGAAATTGATCATGTTAGTTGAAAGAGATTTTTGGGGACCCAATTTCTTTTCCTCCTTGAAAACAAAACAATGGTAAAATTTGTGCAATAGATGAATTAATTGTGTTCAACTGACTGGTTTTGTTATGTCTTCGTCCATTTTCAATATCTTGCTCTTCTGCTCTACTTGGGCGCAAATGTAAAAAGGAATTAAACTTTAAACTACAAAAAAATGATGCTTAACACTTGAGAAAAGAGACATGATATAGCCTAAAACAGGTCAGCAAAAATAGCAGAAATCGACTTGAAATACCCTTTTGAGGGACACTGAATTCCTATTCATGATTAGAACGCTTTTTCTGTTACCAACAGCATGGCATTTTTTACAAAGCTTCGTTTAGAATTCTGCCCTTGTATTTTCAAGCTTGGGAAAGAAACTCATTTAACTCGCAAAGGATTTCCAGGACATAGCCATCGCACATAGACATCTGGGCTCATAAAAAGAGCGCAGGGAGAGTTAACTGCCTTCTACGGGGCACTGAACGCCTTATATGCTAAGTCGGACGATACTTGGGGACCGCCATAAAATGCTCCGGGTCTCTGAAGAGCAAGAAAGGCTGCTAGAATTCTACATAATACACAGACCTCCACAGCAACCGTAGGAAAAACAAAGCAGGAGATTAACTTTGTTTGAGAAGCGATTCCTCCAGAAAGCTTATCGCCCCAAATCTAGGGATATTTATGTGCATGTTTCACCCGTACTTCCATAGAAACATGCAGGGAAAATTGGTAACACAAAAGCCGCTAAAAAAATCCCGTTTTGCTTCACGTCCGCTTTGGCTAGACATCCATCAGGCCCATAAATCATTCATGAATCTACGCCGGACGTCCAGAAGATTATTCCTCCCGGACTCTACCTCCCCATCGAACCAGCCGGCTCTTCCCAGTAGAACTACCTCCCTCATCATTTGCATAATAGAATTCATAAACCTGTCGCATCCGATTTCGTAGCGGGAGTCGACTTTTGTGGCTAAGGTTAACCCAATTGTGGGAGAAGAATTGCTTTGCTCTACTTGGACCTTTGTTTTCGTATTCCTAAACGTCCTACCACCTGTTAGCTCCTTATTGTTTGCTTCTTTCTGGCGAACGCCATGTGCAGACGACATCTAGCCTGCTCCAGTCAGGGAGGGAAGGTAGGATCTGTCTGCGACCTTTAGACGGAGCCAAAAAGTTCTATGTCAAGCGCACTTTTGTTACTGGTGTGGGTGTTTTTTCGAGCACATGGTTGGTTGGTGGCCAGACTCGACATATTATTTGATATTTAAAAATCTATTAAAATATATGTAATGAAATACTTTCTCAGCACTAAATTATTATTCATTGTCATTTGCGTCTATTGAAAAAACAATAATGATACTGTTATTTTATTGCTGTTTTTTCTTTTGCTGCTGATGTTGCTGAAGTCGTTAATTTTTCTCTTATGTCATTGATTTCAGCATCTCTGCTGTTAAGAATATGAACATTACAGTGTTTGACTGCAAGGAGCTGATAGTCTATTGGAAATGTTTCAAAATTTGAATGGGCGGCTCTCGTGGCCTAGAGGTTAAGGTGTTCGCCTCTAATTCAAAGATCCCGGGTTCGAATCAGGGTAGCGAAGGAAAAAAAATCTTCTCTAAAATTGTCTTCTTTCACCTCCTATCCTGCTCTCTAGCAATGTTCCTACGTCTGCTTTCGTTTCTATTTTCTGCCCCCATCCCCTCACATCCTTTGCCCCCTCCTCTGGGCTTCCTACTCTTTCTTCAGCCTTTCTACTGCTACTTCTTGGCTCCTTCTTACTGCTGTCTTTCAGCCACACCCCTGATCTTCTGGAAGGAAAGATCTACACCTAGCCTTCTCGGACAAGGGCGAAAAATCTCGGAGGACCCGCGTGCAAGTTGCGCACGTTAATGATCCCTTGGTGGTCTAAAATCGATAAGAGTTGGCTTCAGCCGCCATTCGTGCAAAAATCAAAATTTCCTCCCACCTGAAAATGTTTAATATGTCCCGCTCATATGTTCTTATGCAGTTGCGAGCGCAGTAAAAAACACTATCCCCCCCCCTCCTCCCCCCTAAAAAATTAAAAAATTTGAATGTGGAGCATTAGACGACTTTCTTGCATTGTTCCTTTTTCATTTCCTCCCCGTCTCTCTCTTTCTCTCTCTCCCTCTCTCTCCCTGTCTCTGTCTGCAAATATATATATATATATATATATATATATATATATATATATATATATATATATATATATATATATATCTGTGTGTATATATATATATATATATATATATATATATATATATATATATATATATATATATGCATACATACATACATGTGTGTGTGTGTGTGTGTGTGTGTGTGTGTGTGTGTGTGTGTGCGTGTGTGTGTGTATGTGTGTGAGGACGTGGTGGAATCAGGCGCTCGTCAATTTTTAGGCATATGTAGTTATTTGGTACAATCTTAAAGCTTGCTTATTTGTCTTTTTTTCGGTGAAAAATTACCCATCTATCTTTGGTAGAAGTCGAGATATTTGCAATTGAAGAGGTGGTGTTAACTGTTTGTGGGGTAAGATTAGCGAGAAAATGGTCGCCATAGTTTGGTAACTTCTAAAGGTTTAGAGTCCTTGAAACCTGAAAATGTACATATTGTGTGCCATTAATCAACCTTTTCAGTAACATTCCCAAACACATGTATTTTTATATGGACGTAAATGAATTGAGCCAAAGAACAAAAATTTGACCCGAATTGTCAAACTGGAGGAAAAATGCCTGTTTCTTCGATTTCATTATTTTAGATATTATTAGTATTATTATTGTTATTATTATTATTATTATTATATATATATATATATATATATATATATATATATATATATATATATATGGTCTTATCTAATCTTATGCTATCTAATCCAGTCGAATCAAATCAAATCAAATTAAATCAATCAGTCAACTTATCTATCTATCCATCTATCTATCTGTCTGTCTATCTATCTATCTATCTATCTATCTATCTATCTATCTATCTATCTATCTATCTATCTATCTATCTATCTATCTATCTATCTATCTATCTATCTATCTATCTATCTGATTTAATGAACTTCCCCGAATGGCCCAGCTACCGTCCGTTAGTCCCTTTCTGTTTGCTCCTCACTGACCAACCGTCAGGCTCAGACAATATGTACCCTGGTCTGGTCAAAGAAGCAATGGAACATTCCTGTCTGCGACCTTTGCAACACGCGGACTCGTTGTCCAAAGAGTTTGTTTGCTGTGTACTATTGTCACAGACGGACATTTCTCATCTACGGGCACGAAAATTCTTGGGGCCCAACACGACGTGCTTAGAGTGCAGGAAGAATCTTCAATCAAGATGTGGACAGCGATGTTCGAGGCACGAATTATGTCGTTGAGTCCGTGGATTCAGGGAATGAAACAAAACAAAACATGATTAAAGAAAACAAAACTACTACAACAGCAACAACAACAACAATAACAACTTAAACAACAGGTTTTGTTTATGTAAGCTGACCTTGCTGTTCTTGTTACTGCTATTGCAACTGTTGCTGCTACTGTTATTATTTGTGTTATTGTTGATTTTGTAGTTATTGCTGTTTTTGTCGTAATTGTAGTAGCAGAAGAGGGCATCCTTGTTGTCTCTGTTACTTTTGTCCTTGTTAGAAGTAGTGGTCACCTTTTAATGCCAAAATTTGTGGATGTTGTAATTCTCTTTACATGTGCCCTTCTCAAACTGACATAACGGACCAAAATAAATTTTAAAAAAAGTAAATTGTTCATAATATTGAGAAAGGGTATTGGGGAGGGAAGTTGGCCAAATATCGATTCCTACTCTAACCTTTAAAACCGTATCCTCCACTCCCACCGCTAATTCCTGCTCTCATCCCTAATTCATACCTTATCCCTGACACACCACCATATCCACAGGCCATAACCCTGGGCGCGAAACAAAAACTCATTCTAGGTACTAGACACAATAACTTTAGCTCAAAAATATATCCCTGCACAGTGGAGACTTGCTGTCTTCTTCAAAATGTAGGTGGGCTTTTTCCGCCCACAACGACACAGTTTAGATCATTTAGAAGGCTGGCTTTGATCATAGTTCTCAGGCCCAACCCTGAACTGAAAGGGATGCAACGTCCCGGCGAGGTACTCCATGAAAATTCTCCCGACACGGGAATCAAATTCAGATCTTCTGAGTGCGACGGCGAAGTGATCCACAGACACTGATTAAAACTGACTGCATGGGTGTGATATCGTGTATTTAGTTAACTTGATAAAATCTTTTTTTCATGGATATTTGTGTGTTTAAAAGTATGTACATGCCTTTGTTACCCAGATTTCTCTATGGGGATTAATAAAGTAAAAAGGTATTTATCTTTTTATGTGTCTAAATCTAATGCAATCGTTTTCCTCTCCCTAGGTCTGTTTTTCTTCGCCTACTACATACTGCTCGTACTGATATGCCTGCCTGTGACGTATGTGCAGCTCAGATTGGGAGCCCTGCACAGGTCCGGAGTGGTCGCCATTTTCTCTCACTTGGTGCCCATACTTAAAGGTCAGTTACAAAAGACTTCTTGCCCTCTTGAACTATTATAATCCTGCATCTCCAGAAGGAATACGGGGAGTGTCATGTTACCTCTCTTGGTTGTTGCTCAACAACTGAACATGGTATACATTATGCTAAAAATATTAACGGGGTATATTGGTCTTACACTAAAAAGGCGGAACTCGGGTTTCTCATTCGTCTGAAATGGGGTAGGGCCGAGTAACAGAGACTGAGCATGAGAGATAGCACTGAATATAAGAGGTATATATATATATATAGCTCAGTACCAACGATTTGACTGATTATCAAAGACAGAGCTTAGCATCAGAAACAGGACTATCTGTGATGGGACTGAGTACCAAAGATAGGATGGATATCAAAGATAAGCACCAGTATCGGAGGTAGGACGGAGTACTAAAGATCTCTATCAGATATATGATTGAGCATTAAAGATAGGACTCACTATCACATATTAGGGTCAGGGTGAGTGATATGACCGAGGACCAGACATAGGACAGAGTGTCAGACACAGGGCTGAATTTCAAAGATAGGTCTCAGTATCAGAGAGAAGGCTTAATATCAAAGATAAAGAAAGTAATAGAGTCAGGGATATGACTTAATATGAAAAATAGCACTTAATAGTAGAGATAGGACTGAGTGTTACAGACAGCAATAGTATTAGAGATAGGACTAAGTATCAGAGACAGCAATGTGTGAGAACGAGTATCAGAGAAGTTTGTTTGTTTAAAGTAAAGAGAAGCACATCGACACAATAATGGCCATTTAGTACTGGGGAAAAGTAGGACAGACAGACAGAAACATAAGAGGGAAAAGTAAAGAAGTAGGACCTACCAGTGGCGCCGTCCAATCACTCACTATCAGAGACGGAAATAGTGATACTTTTAGTATCAAAGATAGGACTGAGTGTCAAAGACAGCAATAGAATCAGGGATATAACTGAGTATCAATGGTAGTGATAGTATCAAGGGTAGAAAGGATAGGATTGAATATCACAGATGTGAACACATTTTCTTTCTGACTGGAGTTGAAGCTATAATCTCAGTATGTCGAACTGGATGAGGAAACCGTTTCACAATGCTGACTGTCAACGACAACTGGAAAGCAAAGAAAATGGGGACACGGTAATCTAGAAGATCTTAAAAAGTACGTTCGTAAGCGAGAGAAGAGTTTCAAATCATTTTAATGCATTTCTTCATGTATTAGAAGACAAATCAACAGTTTGCTATTGTTCCTTGTCTAGAAAGATAATAAGCACAAAAGCATGCTTCTCTCCTGTCTGTAAAGGTAAGCGGGTCATCTGATTAAAAGCTCTATTTTGAGGGCCGGGTGGGGAGGGGGGGTATTACTTTTGTCTAGAAATATTTCGAAATACCGCTATTTGTTCTACCCGCACCATCCTTTTAAGGAATTCACCAATAAAGCAAAGGCGTAGGATCTATTATTGTCTCCCGTTGGACAATGTCTTTAATCTCTTTTTCAAGAAAGAAAGAAAGAAAGGACGAGGAAGAGGAATCAACGACGATTGTTGAATCTGTTATTACTTTGGTTTGTAGGCCTATTTGTCTAGAAACATTTTTCCACACAACATTTCCACGAAAGTACATTAAGCCAGTCCTAAAACAGCAAGTCAATAGAACGTTATGTCAACAGCTGCCTCACAAGACAAAAACCAGTGAGATGATGCTATTATGCAAAAATTTCTCTCTCGTCATAAAGATTTTATATCCATTTTTTTTCTCTCACCATTCAATATACAAAGATAAAATTATAAACATTTTTGTTCTCATAAGAAAGTAATTTCTCGCCTTTTCTCCTACAACGTAATAACAAAAATAATCAAACAACAAACAAATAACCTTAATGCTTTGTCAGATTGTTAGCGCTCCC